ACCCCACTGGTGGAATCATCTCCCGGGGGAGTGACCCCACTGGTGGAGTGAACCCCCAGGGGAGTGTCCCCATTGGTGGAATGAACCTCCAGGGGAGTAATCCCATTGGTGGAGTGACCCCCGGGGGATTGACCCCATTGGAGGAGTGACCCTATGGTGAAATGACCCCAAGGGGCATGACCTTCCCCTCCCCCAGGGAGTTCCCTGCACCACCTCCCCCCCCGCCCCCGCCGTCCCTCCATGAAGTACATGCATTATTGGGAGTTGATGTCATTTACCTCTAGACCTTCGTGTTGCCGTAGCAGTGTCTGCACCTGATTTAAATCATGGCCATACTGATCATTGCCCAGTGCGCCGTCTTTCTCCTGGATCCAGGCCTTCAGCTCAGACACATCATAGTCGAACCGGTGTACCTGCTGTGCTGCCCTCAGATTCTGCGGTGAGGGTACAGGTTCAGTTAGACTGATGGCAGCTTCCATCCTGCAGAGACATTTCCCCAATCCCTTCCTACCAGCACGAATAACCCCATCAGAAACAGAACAACACAGATCCCCCCCCTCCCTGACTTTGTGGTGGGCCACACAGGCTGTCGATGGTTCGAGGCCAGATACAGGAGATAGGATGCAGGCCAACACTCCAGTACAGCAATGAAGGAGTGCTGCACTGTCTGAGGGAGTGCTGCACTGTCTGAGGGAGTGCTGCACTTTTTGAAACGCAGCTAGAGTTTCTGTCAGTCCATTCCCCACACCCAGGACAGCTGGTACTTATTGAGTGTACGGCATGGTTTGTAGTTTTCCTGATTCTATGGTCAGCTTAATCCTCCTCTCAGTCCCCGACTGCACAAAACACAGTAACCATATTGCAGATCTCTGCGCTTTGTGTGGGATCTTCCTGTGTGTGCACGCTGCCCACAGAGCAACAGCACATGCTCTGGAAACTCTGCTGTGCTAATATAAATTCAAGCTGACTCTTTTTCCTCCAAGTATTTCCAGCATTTTCTATTTTCACTTCCGCTCCTTTCCCTGGCCCTTCACCCCACTTGATAGGAGCAACAGAGACTATGTTTGAGTCTGCAGTCTTTCCGATGGGACATTCAGGCAATTGTTTGTTTGTCCACTCGGGTGGATTATTAAAGATCCTACGATACTGTTTTAATAAGAGCAGCAGTCCTGGCCAATAATTATCTCTCAAGCACTGCCACTGAAACAGTTTATCTTGTTTGTGGGATCTGACTGTGTGCAAATTGGATGACGTCATTGCAAACTCCCTCTAGTGGTTGCAGTGTACTTTGGGATGTTCGAAAGTTCTGACAGGGACCGTGTATGTATGCATGTAACCTCCACACAGCAGCAACTGCAGTCTTTGCCGTTCACCACCGAGGGGGGCTGCAGACCACAATTTCAATAGCCTCCTGCCAGATGGTGAACAGAGTCTGCCCCAGCCACATAAGGACCACCTCCACAGAACAATCTGCCCAAAACCTCTCTGATTGATGTGCCCCCTCACTCACGAATGCACCAGCGGAGATTACTTTATCCCAAGCTGCCTGGTGAATATATAGCTGGCTGCCTGGGTAAATGAGATGCTCCAAGTTAGTTACCTGGGAACTGTAGAAATTACATACACGGTCCCCCGTCAAGATCCTCAGAACATCCCAAAGTACACTGCAACTACTAGGTGGAGTTTGCAATGTCGTCACCCAATTTGCGCGCAGTCAGATCCCACAAACACGATAAACTGTTTCAGTGGCAGTGCTTCAGAGATAATTATTGGCCAGGACTGCTGCTCTTATTAAAACAGTATCACGCGATCTATAATGACCAGGAACCAGCTCCAGGTCCCCACAGGCTCCTCCGAGATGCTGGACTGAGGGTCCTCAATGACCTTATTGGGATTGGGCGCAACGTTAACAGTGGACCTGGCCGGAATAAATCAGTGAGTTTGACAGAACAAGCCGATGGGAGGTAGGTCACTGAGCTGCCCCTTGCCCGACTGACACCCCGTCACCCAACAGCTCACCCCCTCACCGGTCAGCAACCGCGACCACCCCTCCCCCCAACCCCACTGCCACTGGCCCTCACCTCGGCCCGGTTGCTCACAGCTTGTTGCAGTTTGTGCCACTGCTGGTTAATCGCGTTGGCCTGATCCACGATTTCCGGCAGGAAGCTGTGAGACTGTCTCTTCAACGCTTTCACTGCATCGTGAAATGTGGACATCTTGGTCTGGCCCAGGGTGCTCAGCTCCTTCTCCAAGTTCTCAAACTTCTTCTGCAATACCTGTGGGTGTGGGAACCGCAAACAGCTCAATGACAGGCAGGGCAGAGGATTAGACAGCCTGGCCACGCAGGCACCGGCTCCGGCTCAAACTCACACACCTGCTTTCTCACCCCTCGCCCTGGCTGTTTCTGTCTCAGGGATATCAGTGTTAGAACCACTCAAATGATGCCACCATCAGATCCTTGTGCAAAAAAAACCTCATTTTCAATCGCTGTTCTCATGCAGTGTTCATCACTGAGGGGCATGCAGAGATCAATTCCTCCAATAGGTTACTGCAACGTCAGCAAATTCCAGAGAAAACATAATCCACAGGTCTGTCTCCCTCTGCTTTCAGTCCCAGTCTCTCTCTCTCTCTTCCCCTGCTCTCAGTCCCAGTCTCTCTCTCTCTCTCTCTTCCCCTGCTCTCAGTCCCAGTCTCTCTCTCTCTCTCTCTCTTCCCCTGCTCTCAGTCCCAGTCAATATCGACCAGTACCGCGGCTTCTATTGGTCTGTCTCTAGAGCTGGTGCTGAGCAGAGTTACAGAGTGCTCGACATTTTACCTCCACATCTTCCAGATCTTGGCCGTAGTCCTGGGAATCAGCCAGGCGCTGCCGACTGGCCAGCCATGTGGTCATTTCCTGGGCCTCTTGCTCAAACTGGTACAGCCGGTATCGGTCCATCAGCTTCTTCTGTAGGCTCTGGGTTAACTTCAGCAGCAAATCATTCTCCGATTCCACTTCCTGGAGCTTCTTCAACATGGACTCCCTACAAGCGAATTAGAAATGGTAGAAACCTGAAAAATATCTGTGTAACACCGCCATTTACCGTACAGGGACCATCCCGGTGTAAATATCACCGACTTTTACCGTACAGGGACCAGCCTGGTGTAAATATCACCGACATTTACCGTACAGGGACCATCCCGGTGTAAATATCACCAACATTTACTGTACAGAGACCATCCCGGTGTAAATATCCCCGACGTTTACCGTACAGAGACCATCCCGGTGTAAATATCACCGACGTTTACCGTACAGAGACCATCCCGATGTAAATATCCCCGACATTTACCGTACAGCGACCATCCCGGTGTAAATATCACCAACATTTACCATACAGAGACCATCCCGGTGTAAATATCACCAACATTTACGGTACAGAGACCATCCCGGTGTAAATATCCCCGACATTTACCATACAGAGACCATCCCGGTGTAAATATCACCAACATTTACGGTACAGAGACCAGCCCGGTGTAAATATCACCGACATTTCCTCATAGTGTCCTGTGTCACTCACCCCATCTGCTTGTTTAGATTCCCCTTAATTGCAACTTTTACTGTTCACTTTACCAGACCTTACCAATTCCACATTCTCACAACTCTTTGGGTGAGGAGGTTTCTTCTGAACCCTCTCTACCCGATCCCTTGGTGACTGCCCTCAAGTTTCTCTCCTCCACACGCAGAGGATTCATTTTCTCTGCGCCCGTTCCATCAGAACCTTTCAGGATTTTGAAGATGTCCGTTAGGTAGGCTCCCAGCTTGGTATTTGAGGGGAAAAGCAACCCAGTCTGATATTCATACTGATTGTAAATATGTGACAACCCAGTACTGATCCCTGTGGTGTACGAATAATCACTGGCTGCCTACTCGTAAAGTGTTTCACTGTGCAGGGGAACCAGGCTGCTAAGTGGTTAATCCCTGTCACACTTGTACCTCAGGGCATGAAGTGTGGACTCTGATTCTAAACACCCACAAACCCCCTCTCCTCCATCTCTGTGTTTGGTGAACATGGAGAGTCCATTTCACCTTCTCTTCAGTCTTTCCTGAGGCCCAGATAGTACATCCTCCACCGTCAGTGAGAAGAATAAATGTACACAGCATGTTAATTAAATAGAAATGAGAACAGGCTCTGAGACACACACACAGGGACTCATGTGCCCTGTCACAAGAATCATCCAGATGCAGAAAGTGACTCGGAACGTGAAATGGAAATATTGCCATTTGTTGCAAGGGAAAGTAGGAATGTTTTGTTAAAGTTGCAGAATGTTGCTGAGGCCACATCTGGAGCATTGCGTGCAGTTTTGATCTCCTTACTTAAGAAAAAATGTAAATGTTTTAGAAGCAGTTCAAAGAAGCTTCACTCGACTAACAGTCGAACTCACAGTCTAAGGATAAGGGGTAGGCCATTCAGGACTGAGATGAGGAAGAAATTCTTCACTCAGAGAGTTGTGACCCTGTGGAATTCTCTCCCACAGGAAGCTGTTGGGGCCAGTTCATTAGATATATTCAAGAGGGAGCTGGACATAGCACATGCAGCTAAAGGGATCATGGGGAATGGAGAGAAAACAGGAATGGGATATTGAAATTGCATGATCAGCCGCGAACATATTGAATGGTAGTGCAGGCTCGAAGGGGCGAATGGCCTACTCCTGAACCTATTTTCTATGTTTCTATGAGGGGCCTGGATTGAAGGGGTTATTTTATGAGGAAAGATCAGACAGAGGGGGATCTTTCTGAAACACAGAGTATCCTATCGGGGGTCGGCAGGGTGGATGCTGAAAGGATATTTCCCTTTGTGGGAGAGACTAGAATTAGGGCTCAATGTTTAAAAATAATGAGGTCTCCCACCGAAGACAGAGTTGAGGAAGAACACTTTCTCTCTCCAAAAGAGACTTTGGAGCTCTAGAGAGTGGAGGAAGTGGGGTTATTGATTATTTTTAAGGCAAGGTACAGAAATTCCTGACTAACTTGGGAGTCAGTAGTCATGTGGAGTAGGTGGGAATGTGGATTTTTGGCCACGATCAAATCAGCCATGAATGGGAACTTCGGGTTTGAGTGCCATGAATGACCTGCTCCAATTTCTACGTCTAATCCTACATTGGTTTCCTGCCTGATTGATGCTGTTTCTGATCTTCCGGGGGGCGGGGGATGTACCTGTCAGGGTGGCTGATGCTGGAAAGATTGTTCCCCGTTTCCCTCAGTTTGAGCATCCTGGACTGGTAGCTGACCAATTCCAGTTCAACATTTTCCACCTTCCGAAGCAGAGCCTGCGTGGATTCTTCATCCTTCCCGTAGTCGGAGATCTCCAGCTGTGCTTTCCTGTCCTTCATGAATAGTTCCGCCTCCAGCAGCTGGCAATGAGCAGAGACCAGCAGTGAGCCAGAGTACAGCATTGGTGTTCCACACCATCTCACACACACGCACAGACACACACGGACAGAGTGACCACAGTCACTCTCTCTCACACACACGCACAGACACACACGGACAGAGTGACCCACAGTCACTGTCTCTCACACACACGCGCAGACACACACGGACAGAGTGACCCACAGTCACTCTCTCTCACACACACGCGCAGACACACACGGACAGAGTGACCCACAGTCACTCTCTCTCACACACACACACAGTCACACACAGAAATACAGACAAACACAGACAGGCACACACTGTCATACACAGACAGGTAACACAGAAAGTCATGCACATACACAGACAGACACACACACACACACACACACACATTACACAGAAAGACAGACACACACACACAATACACAGAAAGACCTATACCAATACAAACAGGCAGACACCTAGACATACAGACACACAGTCTTACACAGACATTCACACACACATGGACACAGACACACACACACACAGACACACTCATACACACACAGACACATAAATGTGCACACACCCACACACACACGGCATACCCTTCGCTGCAGCCTCATCCAAACTTCTTCCAACATACGGTGACATTGCCCCAATTGCCAAACCCCCCTCCTCATGTGATCTCTGTAGATAATGAAAGCTCATTGCTGTCCCATCACCTGAGAATAAGGGTAAGTGCCAACAACCAGAGCCGGCCAATTGAGGGGCAGGAACGCTGCAGCCTTGCACCAGGTCAGCTGTCTGACAGACGGACTGAGGGACAGGGGTAAGCTCTCTGTCTCACCGTCATGTTCAGACAGCTAACCGCAGTCACTGGCCAGTGACCTGCCCCTGACTGATTCTCGCAGTCACTCACACAGTGACGAGGGTCATGGTTTCAGGCCCCTCCCTGATGTTACCAGGGGAATGTGATGGGTTTGCCCAGGATATAACCAAGCACCCACCTCTGAGAGGAAGAGCTGGACAGTGTGCTGCTCTCTCAGCACCAAGCCCCTCTTCTCTGCCTCTTCCTTCAGCATCTCCACTGCATCCTGCAGCTCCCACAGTTGCTTGGAAATCTCACGGGCAGCAAAGTGACCAGCTTTTACCAGACTCTGTCCCAACTCCATTATGGGTTCAATCAGGGAATCGTGGTTATGGATCTCATTCTGCAAAGCCTGCATACAGAGGACAATCCAATACAACTTGAAACTTCATCATCGACCTGACCCTCACCCTCTAGTTCCAAGACTGACCCCCTCCCCCCCCCCCCGCGCCGGACCCTTCTCCCCTCGTCCCGAGACTGACCCTTCCCTCCTCATCTCGAGACTGACCCCCTCCCCCTCGCCCCGAGACTGACCCTTCCCCCCTCGTCCCGAGACTGATCCTCCCTCCCCCCACACCCCTAATTCCCAGCAGTGTCCCCCCATTCCCCCCTCCCCTCACCCCCGGGGGTGGGGGTTGAGCCTGCTGTTTGGCCCCTCACCAGGTGTTTGTTGTGCAGGCTCTGGACAGCGGTCAGTGAGTTCCCGACATCCTTGACCGTGACCAGCAGCAGCTTCTCCTGGACCCAGGCCTGGGTAGCATCGAGGTCCCGGAACAGCTGGTAGAGGCAGGCACTGTCCTCCAGGGCCCGGTGCCTCTCCTTGATGGGATCTCCCAGTGCCTGGTACCTGGAATAACACAGACTCCCTGTCAGCACGGGAACCGACACACACTCCCGACAACAACAACAACAACACCAGGCGCTGGTGGCATACGGGGGTACCATGGGTGGAACGGGAGCGACCGCTTGCATTTATGTAGTGCCTTTGGACAAGAGTGAAACAGCGCCAAACCAAATATGACACTGGGCCAATGATGGAGATACTAAGATGGGTTAAGGAGTCTGTTTTTAAGGAGCATCTTAGAGATGGACTGGTTTGTGGAGGAAGGAGGGGTTTCTACCGCCTTGGGAGCTGTATGAGCAGCAAAAGGAGCAGGGATGACAAGAGGGCAGCACAGAGGAGCAGCACTGGAATTTCTCTCTCAAGGAGGATACGGAGACCCAGAGGGGTTGTGGCCAATACAAAATAGTTTGGGCACATCTAAAACTGAAAAGAGAGGGAAAGGACACTCGGAGATGACGAAGGACTGTGGAGGACAAAGGGACATTACTAATATTAAATAGATTGCTAACTTTTCGCACATGATGCCGGAGGTAAGTGTCTGGAATGATAGGATGTAACTCAATGCTGCGGTGAACAGCAGGCAAGGATTGTCCTGAAAAACGTTGAGAATTCAGAGCGAGTTAATCACTCAGCTCCACGTGAAGTGTGTGACAGAACTATAGATAGGGTGGTACTCTGGGAGGGAAGGAAAACCCTGGTACTGAATACAGTGGGATGACAGTGGGAATACAGTGAGACTAGGTATTCCCAGTTGGCAGGGCTCGGTTTGAGTGTGTGTGTAGGGTTACCTCTCGAGTATATTGCTGACCCTGTCCCGAATGCCCTCAGCCAGGAAGTGGTTGTCCCGGACAAACTGTTCAGACTGATCCAGCAGAGACTGCATCCTCTCCACGTAGCTGCTGACGTCCTCTTCCAGGTCTTGCTGTTCGTTCAGGAGGTTCTTCACAGACACCAGGTCAGTGGGCTGGCCAGCATGCTCCAACTGCTTCTCGACTTCGCTCAGCCAGTTCTCCACATCATCAATACTCCGCTGGAAGTTCAGTGCCTGCCTCGATCACAGAGAACGAGGTGGTTAATACCCACACCCAAGGGTACAGCCCCTCCCCACAGCTATCACACCCTCACTACCCACCCCCCACCACCTCCTCCGGGGGCACTGGGCAGCAGGCTGGACCCTGGCGAGTGTCTGTCGCTCAGGCAGGGGTCAAACACAAGTGCAGTCAGCTCACCTTAGCATTGTGCTCCGTCTGCTCCATCACCATTGTAACTAGGATGCTCAGTGACCAACTACCGGCTCACCCTCCCTCAGCTCACCTTCACCCTCCCTCACCCTCACCCTCAC